TAGAATAGAAATAATATATAAAATAAAAAATAGAGAAATAAAATAAAATATTTATTAAGATAAAAAATATTGTTGATCTTTGATTCCACGATTAAAACGTGTTAGAGAGTAAAAATATATAATACTATTATTATATACTAATTAGAGATTATTTTTGTTGTTGTTGTCTCGTTACAGTGAAATACTTAAGAGAGGTGACACCGTACTTCAGGAAAGCCTCGATCATACAGGAAGTCGGTTGGGAATTGCAACGTGGATTTCTCAGTGCGACACCACCACCACCAAAGTCACCACCCAGGGCAGACACTCGTTATCTGCCATTACAGCTTTGCAGACTCACCAGGGCGCATCCTTCCTCGGATCCTGGTAAGTCCTTCTTAAAGCATCTTCTTAAAGTACTTATATATATATTTCACAGAAACAAGAATACTTTAACTAATTATAACAATAATTCCTGTGAAAAATATTTCTTATATAATTTTATTTTATTTTATTGCATGTGTGTCGAAAAAAGTTCATTCAAAATTGACAAGAATATTATTTTTTTATTTGTTCATTCTCATCCAACAATTTGATTGTATTTACATATTGTTTTTTATGAGAAAAAATATTAGATATTCTCTTTTAGAAATTTAATATTTACTCCTACCATTTTGAACAAATGAAAGATAAAAATAAAAAGGAAATATTTGATCGAAACGAAACGTATCGATTTATTTATTTTATTTTATTTATTTATTGAAGGGATTCATTTAATACTACTTCCAGATAAATGTATTTTATTATATTTATATATGTATATATAGGTATATGTATATGTTTATATATATATATACACATATATATATATATAGAGATAAATTTGTGTTGAGTATTCCTAGAGGGCAAAACTGATCGCTCGTGAAGCTTTAATCCGATTAATCGGATCAGAATTGTTATAGTATTCTCTACGAAGACGTTTGTATTATAGTTTCCTCAAGCTTCTTACCATGATATCCGATTTATTGCTTGAAAACGTTCCTAATTCTACGAATTTCATTTCTTCCAAATCGAAATTTTGATATTTTATTTTTAAAATGTTTGTCTGTACATTACTCTTTTATTTACTTATATATATATATGCATATAAAATACTTAAATAACGATTGATATTATAATTACAATATTAAGAAAATATAAATTTTAAATTAACTAACATGAATAGGGGATTTCTAACACTTTACGTGGATTATTATCTTAAATGTAGATATTACTACTTTTTTTATCTTTCAATCTTTCAAAGTCCATCATTCCTCGAACGTCCTTGAGATAAAGAAAAGCGAATGAATTCTTAATTCTGTAAAGCTCCCCGAGTAATCCGAATTACGAACCACCAACAAGCCCTTCTTTCTTTCTTTCGAAAGAGAAATGCACTTTAAAAGAAGAAGAAGAAGAAGAAGAAGAAGAAGAAAAAAAGATGATAAAAAAAGTAAAAGAGAAAGAAAGAAAGAAAGAAATAAACAAACAAACGAAAGGAAGATATAAAAGGGATTAAATGGTTTAGAAGGGTCAGATAAAAAATACTTTTTCGTTAAATGAACTAACACACAATCAATATAATTTTAAAATAAAAAATCTTCATCTAAACTCGTTGTCATAATTCGTTAACTAACCGATAACCAATAAACAACTCTTCTCAATATTAAATTTACAAACTTACACCAAAATTACACTCATTTCAAATGATCAACAAACATTAACAAAATACATTCGTAAAATTGATTTAATAATTAATAACTCGTTTTATCCTAAAATTTGTTTATATAAAATAAAATTTGAAAATATATTTGCTGAATGAATTAAATTATTTTGTTTATACACATATATTATTTTACTCAACAATGTTATCGCGTTCGTACGAATAAACAAAAAAAAAAGGAGAAAAGAGTATTAAGGAAAAAAGAGAGAGAGAGAGAGAGAGAGAAAAAAATATGATTTAGGAAACAAACGGAAAAAAATAATAAAATAAATAAAACAAAACAAAACAAAAAATATAAAATATCCGCTAGCCCCAGATATGTGTGCTGTTATTTTAACCAAAATATTTTCGGGTCTGTTTCATTCGCGAATAACACGCGTTGTGGTTACGTTCAATCGATCGGAATTGTTGTCGAATTAACCGTTGGTATTTGCTACGAATTTAATATCTCCCTCGTTACGAATACGTTGGTACCCAAAATCCACCCCCCTCTGACCCTCCTGACCCTCCCGAAACGCCTTTTATTGCTATTATTTTTTTTTTTCTTTTTTTTCCCTACTTTTTTTCTTCTTTTTTCAATCGAGAATAACGAGCATTTTTTATTTCGATTCTTTTATTTTTTCACGTTTTATATTCTCCAATAAGAGTTCACGAACGAACATATGGTATACCATTTTCTAATTTTGTGTTTTGCTTTATTAATTTTACATTAGTTAACATTCATTTATTTGTAACTTCAAATTATTCAGATATATTAATAATGTAATGTGACAATATTTTAAAAGTCGCCTAATACAAAAATTGTTGTCAATTAATTGTGTTCGATTATTTTTCATTAATTATTAATTTTTCGATATAATACACACAAGAACAAAATTATATTTCTAATCAATCGTTATGATATTATTTCAAATACGCATTTAAATAATTACTAATTAAAATGATTTTGTGTGTTTTCGAACAATTATCTAAAATCTATTGACCGAATTTTAATTCGAATATATAATTTGTGCATATCTGTGAGTTAAAATAAATAAATATTATTATATAAATAATTTATTATTCGTAATAGTACTTTCCGTTGATTAATTATACCATACATTTATTCATGTAGTATATAGTCTCTTTCGTAGAGTAATATTTATTTAAAATTGATTACCTTACTCCTACAAATTACACCGTGTATATACGCAAACTTCTAATTGTAACAATTTGTAGTTAATTAACAATAATCAAACTTATATTTTACCGATCACGCTGTGTACCTCATACGTTCATAAACACACTATATGCATACATGAATATACAATTTCATTAAATGTTAATTACGTACCCGTAATTGCTAATGTAACCTATAACGAACTTGATAATTGAGAACAATCACAAACCTATTCTCTAATCGATCAATTTTCCTAATCCATAATGAGATCATTTCCTTAATAAAAAAACACTACGTTTATAAATTCCACTAAAAAAAAAAAACAATCACATACCATATTATAAGTTGCATGAATATATATTCCAACATAAACTTTAATTATTAACACAATTTACCTTGACCTTACATTTATCCAAACCACCCCCTCACTTACTAACTAATACTAACACGATCTTATTTCTTTCTATTTTCTTTGTCTTTTTTATATCCTAAAAAACGTTAGGTTTTCTGGACGATTTAACAGATCTAAGCTAAACCCTCCACCCCCTATCCACCCTCCGTGTATGTTCAGCAGTCTTTCTACTGTCAATTGAACAAGGATACACGACTAGTACAAACATAGTGTGTAGTAGTAAAAGGTTAGGTAGTATGTTAGTAATAGTAGCTAGCACGCGTTTGTTGATGGTACGAGTGAGACTAGGAGGTAGAGAAATAGTGTTGGTAGTACGGGGGGTGGAAAGGGGGAAAGGAAGTGGGGGTTGGGAGGATGCGAGAGTTAAATTAGTTTCCGGGGGCAAAAGCTGTCTGCCGGCCGGTTTTCAGGGCTAACCCCGTGTATAATTCCAGAACAGCTCCATCAGGCCGGAACCCACAAAGAACCTTCCATCCAAACCATCCACTACTGACACCAAGTACCAGCTAACGTTACTATATACTACCAACACTGATATAACAATGTTAGTTTCGCTACTGTAGATACTAATACTATCAAAAGTCGCATCAGTTTCTCTATCTTTGTCTTTCTCTCTCTCTCTCTCATACTCATTCTATTCCACATGGTGGGTGGTGGTGGTGGTGGTGGTGGGTACTCGTGCGACCACCTTACTCAGACTTTCCAGGCTCTACTACACTTCGCGAACTTAATTACCATCGAATAATTGCATTCTATATGCTGTCCGTCTGATTAATGAGCTTGATTTATCTGATTTTCTATGGTTACACAGATATTGGATTTGCTTTTTGTATTTCTTCTCTTTATTCTTTTTATTCTTTTTCTTTTCAATTGGTACGTTCGACTCGTTAGGATCGAATTTTAAATTTTATTGGGTTTTTTACTTTTTTATTTATAATATTAAGGATAGCATCGATATATATATACTCGTATTGTTTTGAGTGATGTAAAAATAAAATTAAAAAATAATATTTTTAATTGTCATATCTTTTTTTAATATGAATATTGAAAAAAGAATATATGATATTATAATACATTAATTATTACACAAATGTTAGTGTAATCTCTAACAGATTTTTAAAAAACAATTTAAAAAGATATATCACACAATAAGAGAAATTAATTAGTTAAATAAGACAGATATTAAAAAAAAAAGAAAAAAAAAAAAGAAAATAATAGAAACAAGTATAGGACAGGCGTGTAAGGAATTAGATCGATTATTAATTAGATCATACATAGATATTGTGTCATCCTTGATATCCGACTAAGAACAGATGCGAGAATGGGATTAAACGCATGCGTGGAAATCACCGCTAGAGATAACATTAATCACATCGTGTTTGTAACACCTGCATGCATTTTCGTTACAAGATCACGCTTCTCCCTCGCTCCCCCCCAAGTGTCTTATCTCCGTGATCTACTAATCTAATTGAAAATTTGTGAAGAAAAAATATGTGTGCATTTAATATAAAAATTTCAGTATATATATTTTATATTTTTACAAAATGTTAAAACAATAATATGAAAGTTTATCGAGATTTGTGATGTAATACTCGTACGCGTATGTTATCACGCGAAATCAAATTTGTTTGTTAATATTGTAAAAAGTTTTTTTTTTATCTTGCAAAGAAATTATTATTTTTAACGATTTCTTTGATATCACTTTCTGTTGGTGATCGAACGATGAAACGTTTAAAGATCATTGAACCGTTAATATTCTCACATACCAATCGTCTAACTGTTTGTGGTCGTAATGTAACACGATTACGATGCCATTAACAGTACGTTATTACTCCATGTATCGAATTGCAATGGTTCAGAACATTCTACGCGATCCTTTTCGTTATCCTGTATTCCTTGGTATTCCCTGTCTTATACACGCAAACCTCATAAAATGAAAACGATAAACTTGTCAACTTCAATAAGCTTATTTTCTTCTTTATGTTTTTTTCTCTGTCTTGTTTTTTTATCTCTCCTCTTAAAAAAGAATAACGAATGCCTTATTTACGAAAACTCAC